CTGTGGTACCTATAAGCATCATTTATAGCGCGCGTTAGATCACTGGGTACAAATGCACGTCTCCGTGCTCCACAGTTTTATACAGCTTTCCTGTCCTAGATAAAATGGGGAGGAGGCTGTTGGGCAGGATGTTTCTTATTATTATTTCTTCACGTTGGAAGACTGAAAGATCAAATTGCATTTCTTGTACAAATAACTCACACGCTCACGTTCGCAAACTGGACTGTTGTGTATTATAGCTGTTTACAGCACAGAATACTGGCATTCAGAGCGACATACCAACTCTTGTTAACTTGCCCTCTCTCGCCTTCCCAACTCTTACTGGCAGGGATTTGTGCGGTGATAGTGATTTGCGGACAGACCCCCAGAAAGCCAGGCTCGGGGTTCCTGGGGGGGGGCGGTCGGACCGCGCGTGGGTCCCATCCTTCACCCCGCGACGCCTAGCTGTCCCGCGGTCATGAGCACCACGACCCTCCTCGTGTCCGCAAAGGGCGGCAGCGCGCGCCGTGTGCCCGGGGGCGCCGGCTGCCCTCCGCAGGGCAGGAGCGAGGCTGAAACTGTATCGGAGGGCACGCGAATGAGCCCCCCGACGCTCCGGGTATTTTAATAACCGAGAACAGCGCGCGGCACAGCGACACTCCTTACTGTAGCGTCTGCTCTAGAGTGCGCTGGGGCAGCGCTTCGTACCTGTAATTGTACTGTTAATGACAAAGCAGCAGTTTCAAAGACAGATAAGTAGAGGCAATTGAAAGAAAAAACAGGAGCAGAAGTCGCGTTTTGTTGTTAAGGTATTTGTTTTCTGGACTAAACGGTGCTCCATTTTGGTGGCCGCATTCCCGTTTCCTCTCCCTGCTGTCCCCGAATTGGGAGTGAAGAGAGACTGACCACAGAAAATGAGACAGAGCCCTGCAGGCCGGGCAGAGCTCAGCCTGAGCGGTCTCAGCCAGGGCAGGGTGCCTTCTCATCACCACCCTGCTTGCTGGTCTTCTTACATTTCTTCCTGTCATGCTTTTGTGCTGGGATCCCGTGTCCCTGTTTCAGGGACTGGAGCTGAGCATCAAACTTAAAATGAGTCTTTTTCAAGAAGACATGTTTCGACAGCGCAGGGGCGTGGGTAAAGGAAAGGCACAGTGTGAGATTTCCATTGCTGTATGCACGGGCAACTGCTTGCACTGAATTCATTGAATACACTATTGGTAGCTATTTCTACAATGTGGCAGGGAAGCTAGCAGTGTTGCCAAAGTGCAGGAGAGATATACTCACAGAAGTATATCTTACAGAAAATCAGAATAACAGCAGCAACGAAACCCTGGTGCCAGGCAGGCCTGTGTTAGATTTTCTCAATCGATGATATTTATGCGATCCTGTATGAAACGGGGCTCAGCACGCCGTGCATGTTACAGAAGGGACAACACCTCCCCACGTCTGGAATCCAGCCTGTGTGAGAGTCAGTGTTTCTGTGTGGTGGAGTTGACTGCTGTCCCAGAGCCTGGGAGGGACCGGAATCGAATCCCAGCAGGGCTGGGAGAGCAGTACGCATTACAGACAGACATTCCACTCAACTGGCTTCAGACAGTTAAGACTCTCGATTTGATTCTTGATTCTGTAAGGCAGTCCCAGTGGGCTCCTAGCCTCTCACAGCCGAATTCTCAGAGTCAGGAATGCTGGACTGGGAGAAGTACTGGTGCCACTAAGCATCTGAGGATGTCTGAGATTTTGTCCTTGGGAGACCCACTTTTCAGCGATAAAGATTTCATGATCGAGATCCGTCTGTGCACCTGTCTTGTGACCGGGCAGGCCAAGGGAAAACTGCAGTGACCCCCTGACCTTTCTTCATGGCGGTAGTTTACAGGACGCGCGCCCCAGTCAGCCACTCCGCTGCGCTGTAGAGAGCTTTTCAACAAACAGAAGGAGGCCGTCTCATGCAAGGCAACAGGAACGCAGTCTGGGGAGTCCTAATGATCTGAGGAGGGGGGAGGGGGGGGTCGATACTAATCATGCTGCGTCTGAAAAATAAACTCACAGGAAAACACGCCCAGGTGTTGCAATGCTGTAAAGCTTCTGTTTGGACCTGCTGGTTGGCTAGGTGTTTGAGTAAAGGCTTAGAAAACAGGACATCACATCTTTTTTCTCATCAACTTCGATTCAGCCGCTGGTGTAGGTCCTCGTGAATGCGGTGTAGTTATGAGATATGTAACTCGTATTTGGCATGACTCTCCTAGCTGAGTGAATGGCAATGAGGACAGGCTGCCCCGTCCCTCCTCACTATTGTGAGGAATGAGC